TGTGTGTGTGTGTGTGTTAATGTATGTGTGTGTGTGTTAATGTATGTGTGTGTGTGTTAATGTGTGTGTGTGTGTGTGTGTGTGTGTTGATGTGTGTGTGTGTGTGTGTTAATGTATGTGTGTGTGTGTTAATGTATGTGTGTGTATGTGTGTGTGTGTGTGTGTTGATGTGTGTGTGTGTGTGTTAATGTATGTGTGTGTGTGTTAATGTGTGTGTGTGTGTGTGTATTAATGTGTGTGTGTGTGTGTGTGTGTGTGTGTGTACCATGGATGTGTTGGCAGATCAGTCCGCCTCCACATGTTTGTGCTCCTTTCAGGAAACACTGACCTAAATCTGTTGACAGCAGCAGCATCACAGCAACAATAAAACATCTGTGTAAAGACGGTAAACGCATCACGATGCTCTGCTCGTGTTGACAAGTCCTCACCAAGAGACAAACATCTCATCTGTCCCTCCACACTTTAATTATCTGCAGTTTATATTTCACACAGCATCATCGGAGCAGCCTGCAACACATCTGCCTCAATATATATCACACACTGATACACTAACACCACACAATACACACACTGTACAATATATAACACATTGATCCCTCTTAGCTGTCCATCGTGTACGATAATGACGCTTGTTTCAGGGAGGGGGAGGGGTTCAGTGACGTTGTGCCACTTCAGGTGGCTATCGAGGCCGACACGTGAGCCAATCATCCGTCCACAGTCAGGGCAGGGGAGCCCGGATGTAGGGGGAATTCGGGCTGCCCTGACTCTGGGCACGTCTCTCAGTCCTTCTCTGCTGATCGCTGTTGTGTATGTGTGAGGTTGCTCTGGCACAGGTGGCCTGCCAGGCTGATCGGTCGAGTGCCAGAGTTTCAGACTGTGTGGGGTTGATGGTAGTGCGCTTAAAAAGGTCCTTGGTGTAGTCCTTGTAGTGCCTTTTTTTTGGCCGCCAGCAGCCCGTTTTGCACCCCTTAGTTGGCCATAGAGGACTTGGCAGGGTAGGCGATGGTCAGGTAACACATTGATACACACACACGCACACACACACACACACACAGAAACTGAAAAAAAGACTCAACAATGAAAAATCAGTCTGTACACACTGAGCATCTGACAGGTGTGAAATGGTGAACGTGGCATGATTGGTTTGGTGGTGGGTCAGTGGTGGTCTGGGGAGGCAGATCCTTGGAGGGTCACACAGACCTCCATGTCAGAGCCAACGGTACCCAGACTGCTGTTAGGTACCAGGATGAAATCCTCAGAGTGATTGTCAGACCTTATGCTGGTGCAGCGGGCCCTGGGTTCCTCCTGGTGCAGAGGGCCCTGGGTTCCTCCTGGTGCAGCGGGCCCTGGGTTCCTCCAGGTGCAGAGGGCCCTGGGCTCCTCTTGGTGCAGCGGGCCCTGGGTTCCTCCAGGTGCAGAGGGCCCTGCATTCCTCCTGGTGCAGAGGGCCCTGGGCTCCTCCTGGTGCAGAGGGCCCTGGGCTCCTCTTGGTGCAGAGGGCCCTGGGCTCCTCTTGGTGCAGCGGGCCCTGGGTTCCTCCAGGTGCAGAGGGCCCTGCATTCCTCCTGGTGCAGGGGGCCCTGGGCTCCTCCTGGTGCAGAGGGCCCTGGGTTCCTCCAGGTGCAGAGGGCCCTGGGTTCCTCCTGGTGCAGAGGGCCCTGCATTCCTCCAGGTGCAGAGGGCCCTGGGCTCCTCCAGGTGCAGAGGGCCCTGGGTTCCTCCTGGTGCAGAGGGCCCTGGATTCCTGCTAGTGCTGTGGGTCCTGGGTTCCTCCTGGTGCAGAGGGCCCTGGGTTCGTCCTGGTGCAGAGGGTCCTGGGTTCCTCCTGGTGCAGAGGGCCCTGGATTCTTGCTGGTGCAGCGGGCCCTGGGTTCCTCCTGGTGCAGTGGGTCCTGGGTTCCTCCTGGTGCAGAGGGCCCTGGGTTCCTCCTGGTGCAGAGGGCCCTGGGTTCCTCCTGGTGCAGAGGGCCCTGGGTTCGTCCTGGTGTAGAGGGCCCTGGGTTCCTCCTGGTGCAGAGGGCCCTGGATTCTTGCTGGTGCAGAGGGCCCTGGGTTCCTCCTGGTGCTGCTGGCCCTGGGTTCCTCCTGGTGCAGAGGGCCCTGGGTTCCTCCAGGTGCAGCAGGCCCTGGGTTCCTCCAGGTGCAGCGGGCCCTGGGTTCCTCCAGGTGCAGCGGGCCCTGGGTTCGTCCAGGTGCAGTGTTGTTGAAGACATGATGAGTTTTGTTATTTGTTGTTGTTGTTGTTTTTAGAGGTATTGCTGGTTGTTTGAGACATCACAGGTGTTGTTGTTGTTTGTGATTTTCAGTCCTGGTTCAGCAGAGGTGGATTTCACATGCAGACTGTTTCCTTCTGAGACAAATTGATCCTGACAAGGTGTAAAGTGAAGAGAAACGGAGTTCCTGCCAGAAAACATCTACAACATGAGCACACGCCTACGTTCACCAAAATAAAAGCAAATTTAATCTGCATGTGTTTACCTCCATGAGCTCCTGACTGCATGTGAACGTCGTCTCAAACAAATTAACAGAGAGGCTTCTGACGAAAACATACGACTCAAATACTAACTGAGAACTGGGAACTGAGAGCATCCAGTGGTTTCTGTTTCTGAAAGACACAAATGACCGATAAGAAGAGACGACATTGGGGACCAGTCCAGACAGACTTTCTGACATCCTGATGATTCAGCTGTTCTTCCTGTTCTATTTGTTTCTTTTTGGAAAATAAAGAGAAGCTGCAGTTCCTCTGACGTCCAGTAGATGACTCTGTAATTAAACTCTGACGGGTAAATTTATAAATGGACTGTGTGGGATTTTCTCGGTCGCTGAACCTGCACAAACAAAAACAAACTGTAATTCTCAGTGTTCTCTTAAAAATTTTTGTTTTCTTTTTTTCCCTTTTTCTCCGTCAGCTCAGGTCAGAATTATCACTACGTGGTTTAGTTTTCATCTCTAGATGATATTTCAACATGATAACCAAAGAAAAGGGACTGTTCCTGCCCACCAGGACAGAAAAAACACCTCTACAAAGTGTGGATAAACACCAGGACGAATCGACCTCCAGCTGAGACATCTGAGCATCAGCGTGTGTCAGATATCTGATATCATCTTATCACAACCACAGAAAAATGTCTCTAACATGCACAAATAATGAAAAAAAAGTATTGTTGCATTTTTGTTACCTTAGACTGAGACCTTTATATCTACAGAGGGAGCGGGTCATCCTCATGTTTCACCGCCATGTTTCTACAGTAGCTCAGAACGGACAAACTCAAGGAACCTGTTTGTATTCTTTGTAATTATGTTTTCGTCAGTGTGCGTGTGACTTTATGTGATTCAGTCTGAATAAGATGGTAGATAAGATCTTAGCATCGACTGCACACAAACCTGTCGAGCGATGATGACCAAAAAAACACAAAGAAAACAAACTGCAGTCGCTGCAAAACTTTTTGTTTTCACTATTGTGTCATTATCACATTGTGTTTTGTGATTCGGACGTTGAGACAGCGCAGAGAGCAGCTGCCAGTGATGTGACGTTCATGTTGCTCTCAGTGATCCATCGTTGTAAATTAATCAGTGAAACTTCTCTTGTTTCTGTTTTTACACAACAAACTGATTTATTTTCTGATTAAAATCATATCTGTACAAATGTCACCAGTGTTTTTCTTCAGCTCCGACCCTGTCGCTTTGAGTCATTCGATAAAACACACAAACATGTCTGCTGTCTCAGATGTGAAGCAGCAGAAATTTCCCATCATGCTCCACTGGGTGATTTTAAATTGACCAATCATCTTCATTTTACATTTGACAGCACTTTTATATGTGTGTGTGTCTCGGCAGCAAAAACACACATTCAATCTCTCTGAACAGCGAGCCACACAGCCAATCAGCTTCTGGCAACAAGCACTGTTGTCATGGCAACATGGCAGACGTGAATACAGCATCCCCAAAACATATCTGTCCTCCAAAAATCGCTGGTTCAATTCCAGCTGACTTGCAGCAGAATAAAGGCAGCTAATTGGTCGCCAACAGGAAATGATGCAAATGTAAACTAGAACTTCCTGCTCCCAGAGCGAGCTCAGTAGCTCACAAGTAGCTTGTGATTGGATGGACTATCAGTTTTCTCCTGTCTGTGTGTGTGTGTTCCGAACAGAACCTGAGCGGTGGAAACAGAATGTCAGATCTGAATGGACACACAACACGTAAACGGTCCCCATGACATGTCACATGACCTTCGTGTGATACATCACCGACCTCATGTGGGTGGAAACACACGAACAAATCCAAACATTTAGATTTACATTAATCAGGAGGATGGGCTTAAAAAAGGACCTTTTTTCCTATGTCTGCTATGTCAGATGATCTCCTACCTGAGATTCGAGAGGGAGACAGCAGCAGTCGTGTCCTGGGGGCAGGTCTTACTGGCCTCTGCATGATGTGATTGGTCAGGAGGAGGGGTTTGTCTCTCCTCTGGAACACACCCACTTCGTCTGGTGAGACCCAGCCTTCAACTAGCTGCAAACATGTTAGCATGTTAGCATCATGCTAATGTGTGTGTGTGTGTGTGTGTGTGTGTGTGTGTGTGTGTGTACCTTGGGGAGAGGATGAGGAGGATGAAGATGTGGAGAGCCATAAAACGGAGGGACAAGATGAACCACTTCAACAGCCGGACGTTCCCACTAGAACAATAAAAACAGCTGATGGTTTCACACTTTTCCTCTGTTTCTTCTCCCCTTAGAACCAAAACAACCAAACCCACAGTCAGAGAACCACTGACACATGAAGAACCAGTAGTTGTTTTCATATATGTGTGTGTGTGTGTGTGTAAATACACGGGGATATATGTATGTACATATGTGTGTCAAAGGTGTGGTTAGAACCCAGGTGCAGAACCACGGGCTGACAGGACAGTTTGTAAAGACCTCTAACGGGTGAGCCGGCAGGTGAAACAACACTGAGAGTCAGTGTCGTGACTCGGAGTCTTCCAGGACACAAGTTAATAATAACAATAATAATAATACATTTTATTTATCAGTCCAAAGCACTCTGTGTGACACACTGCAGCAGAGAGCAGGTGAGTCAGTGGCCTCCGCTGGGCGCACACAAACAGGAAACAGTTTAAATCAAACTATCGTCAAAATTTATATAAATGTTTTTTTTTTTTTAGTCGAATCAGATTTTATAAAAATGGCTGCTGGTAAAAAAAAACCTGCAACTGACAAAGACTGATGTCAGTTTAGGTGGTGTTGCTATGGCAACCAGCTGAGAACCGCCCACACCGAGTGTAGTGTGGAGTTGAGACAGACAGACAGACAGACAGACAGAAGACAAACAACAGTCTTCTCTCAGGCAGTCTGTCCACAGCCCAGCGGCATCCCTGACCTTTGTATTCTACAGAAAGAACGATGAAGAAAGATGAAGGTCTCTGAACACACATCATCATCATCATCATATTTGAAAAAGGTCTTTTCAACAAGATGAAGAAGATTTTAAATAAAAGACTCGTCTCATTTTAACGTTCAGGTCAAACACAAGAATGTGTGGTCGAGGTTTCAGCTCGCTGTGTCACGTCTCTTCTTCGTCACTACAAACAACCTTTAAACATCAGAACGTCTGCGGAGACGATGTTAAAATCTATCACTGGAGTTTATGGAGAAAGACTTAAGGAAGCGCTGCATGAGATAATTAACACGCCACCAATAATTAACAGACAATTATTCACTCTGCCCTCAGGGATCATTAAAGTTTCATCTTATCTCCAGACTGCAGAGGAGGCTGAACTCACAGAGAGACGACCAAAATAATCTGTGTCCTAACAACGACTGGTGGACGTCAAACTGATCACTGATCTTATCATCACACTGAAGATTTAACACGACGGACACCGAAATGATCTGTGTTCAAACTGATCACTTTATTTATCAACAAACTGCAGAGGAGGCTGAACTCACCGAGAGACACGTCACATCACACCACTGAGATAATCTTTTCTAACAATGACTGGTGAACGTCAAACTAATCTTATCAGACCTAAGTTTAGTCAACTGTACCAGGTGTGTTACCTGTGTCAGGTGTGTTACCTGTGTCAGGTGTGTTACCTGTGTCAGGTGTGCTACCTGTATCAGGGGTGTTACCTGTATAAGGTGTGTTTCCTGTGTCAGATGTGTTACCTGTATCAGGTGTGTTATCTGTGTCAGGTGTGCTACCTGTATCAGGGGTGTTACCTGTATAAGGTGTGTTTCCTGTGTCAGATGTGTTACCTGTATATGGTGTGTTTCCTGTCAGATGTGTTACCTGTGTCAGGTGTGTTACCTGTGTCAGATGTGTTACCTGTGTCAGGTGTGTTACATGTATAAGGTGTGTTACCTGTGTCAGATGTGTTACTTGTTTCAGGTGTGTTACCTGTATCAGGTGTGTATCTGTGTCAGGTGTGCTACCTGTATCAGGTGTCTTACCTATGTCAGGTGTGTTATCTGGGTCAGGTGTGTTACCTGTGTCACGTGTGTTATCTGTATCAGGTGTGCTACCTGTGTTAGATGTGTTACCTTTGTCAGGTGTGTTATCTGTATCAGGTGTGCTACCTGTGTTAGATGTGTTACCTTTGTCAGGTGTGTTACCTGTATAAGGTGTGTTTCCTGTGTCAGATGTGTGTTCCTGTGTCAGATGTGTTACCTGTATCAGGTGTTATCTGTGTCAGATGCGTTACCTGTGTCAGGTGTGTTACCTGTATCAGGCGTGTTACCTGTGTCAGGTGTGTTACCTGTGTCAGGTGTGTTACCTGTGT